TCTTTTGACTCAATTTTATGTCAAAATTGACACTCGTATATGTCACTCTCAGAGCACCTAAATTTACATCTATTTTTTAAGTGTGTATGGTAGCGCTATAACTGCAATAGTGTGCGTTGTTCGTACAAATCGGAATCTTGCAGAGGCACATCTATTGACCTGTAGTGTATGGTATATATGAATAATTTAAAGTTCGTAAACCCTAAACCTTATATTTCACAACGATTAGCGGACTTGTTGTTACTTGCGATGGAGACAATTGCAACAAAATTCTGGTGATCTGGTTTCGAAACAAAACGTCTTGGTCATAGGTTAAACACTTACTAAGAAAGTTGAAGCCAAGTTTTTCTTTTTTCAAAACCGTCAGCAATCAATAGAAATAGCCTTGCACGAAAAGATACAAATACTACCAATAGGAATGGCAATTCAAGCTTTACTTTGAATAGGAATTTCGAAGGAAGATTTGTAGAAATAGAAAAAAAAAATCCTATCGATTGGCGTATTAAGAATTAAAATCCATCAACTTTGGTTTTTGAAATTGCACCCCCAATGTTGCCTTAAAATATATGGTATGTTAGATTTGAACATATGAGAACTGACATCCGATTGATGACCTTGAAAAAAACAACGTTTGGTGACACCGGATAGAATTCAACATTTAAATCTGTGTTAGGGAAATCGCTTTTCTCAGGCAATCGGTGTTTTTAATCATTTATTTATAATTAAATTTTTCGTAATTTATCAATTATTGGTACAGTGTTGGGCTTATTTGGTTTCGTTTATTAAATGTAAGAGCTTTTTGAGAAAAAACACTTTTTCTTTGAAAAACCTTAATATTTTGAAATATAATAAACTAAACTTTTTGAAATTTGATACTATAATCAGAATTTCTCAGTCTGCATGAAGCAGCCGATTTCATCAAGGAAGTTCTATTAACAACCAAGAATTAATCGTTTGAGGCATACTGAAGCATTAAGAAGGTGATATGTGTCACTATAGGAAATCATCATCGTTGCAAATATAATGAAATTAAACAAAACCCTTTGCTTCAGTACCGTCAATCTCCATGTCCATGGGGAGGGGCTGCAGTTTAAGAATCTAATAGTATTCAAAAATTGGAAATCTCTGTTCAAGTATTCGGCCAAACGGCATTCGACCAAATGGTTGGACACCGTAAAACTTAAAAGAACAGCTCATGGTTAAAAGAGCAATGAATCTATAGAAAATAGAAATTTTCTGTTTTATACAAAATTGAAAACTTTCCATTCCTCATAATCTAAAAAAACATAGATTTGTGGAAAGACAAGAGGAATACAAATACCTGAAACGGCTAATTCTACTAAGCTTGGGATCTGCTAACTTAAAATTACTCCGAAAAAAGAATTTTTAAATACTCAGGAATCTAGTAGGGTTCAAATATTGAAAATCTCTTTTCAAATATTCGGCAAAATGGCATTCGGCCAAATGGCCGGACACGAGGCACATTGCAGGATAATTAGCGAACTTCTGTACAATTTTGGGCATGTCATCTGCAGTAGCTTTTAAGAAGTTCTATGACTTCAGAGATTTCTAGAAAATTTTCAAAATATCAAGAAATCATGTGACAGGTCTGCAGAACTTTAGGATAATTTTGGAAAATTTCAAAAAAGCTAGCTCTAAAGATTTCCAGAGAAGCTCAGAGATTTTAAAATCTTAAGTTCTGACTTCCGGGGAAGTATCTGTTGTTTTTTGTAGAGGATACTAAGTAGTACTCTAAATTCAGGTTCAGGAAAGTTTTGAGAAACTATAAGGGAATTTCAGGGTAGTTCAGAGAACTGCAGTTTTATTATTTCCAGGAACTTTCAAGAAATGCAAAGGAATTATAGAATATTCCGAGGATTACGGTAATGTTCCTAAAATTTCTAGAAAACTGTTGGGTCTGGAGAGGAGTTCCATGAATATCAGGAAAATTTGTTTGGCGTAAGAGAAATTCCGAGAATTTCTTGTAAATTCAGGGAACTTCACCCAGAGAAGTTCAGGGAATTTAAGATATTTTAAAGGATGTTTCATGAGCTGCAATTGTCTTTTGCGCGACTGTGTTTGTGCTTCAGTACCGAAGTGCCTACCTCCAAGAAAATCGCTTTGGTCTAACGCTACTCACCGAAAGCTGAAACGAGTGCGACCTAGAGCTCTCCACGCTCTCACTCATCGTCGATGTACCCTTACCAAACGAAATTTTTCAATTGCCAGTTATAATTCTCGCCACTACAACAAGCTTCTTTACAAGAGGTATGTAATTCGTACTCAACATAATCTGCAAAGCCACCCGAAGGGATTCTTGTCGTTTGTGAATACCAAGAGGAAGGAAACTGGTTTGCCGTCAAAAATGCTTCTCGACAATGACGATGGATTGACAACTGATGACAAATGCAACCTATTTGCTAGGTACTTCTTGAGCATCTTCTCGAATGACTCACCATCGCAAGCAGAAATTGAACGAGCCGTCCGTGATGTGCCCACCGACGTCATGGATATTTTTGCCGTAGATGTACAAATGGTTCTCTCTGTGATAAGTTAAATCAAATCATCATTTTTACCAGGTCCGAGCGTTATTCCATTTGGTGTCCTGAATAAATGCTCCGATATCTTAGCTGCTCCGCTGTCCTTGCTCTTCAACCTGTCGCTTCGTCAGCAGAAATTTGCCGCGCTATGGAAACGCCTGCTATGTTCCCTGTTTTTAAGAAAGCAGATAAACGCAATGTGGAAAACTACCGTGGGATTACCTCGCTCGGGGTTGAATCTAAGGTGTTTGAGTCGCTGATAAATGAGAGATTGTACATGTCCATGTCAACATGGCTTCTTTCCTGGCCGCTCCGTGGAAACGAATCTCGTCAGCTTTACGTCATTTTGTATGGAAAATGTATACAAGAAACTTAAAGTGGATGCCATCTACATTGATCATAAAGCTGCGTTTGATAGAGTTGTGCACGACGTTCTGCTAGCAAAGCTTAAAGAAATAGAATGTTCTGCTTCCTTCTGCAGTTGGCTTAGATCGTACCTCGTGCAACGTGAAGTTACTGTATGCATTGGAAACTAAGCATCGTACTGTTTCTCGAACAGATCAGGAGTTCTACAGGGTAGCACTTTGGGACCACTGCTCTTCTTTTTATTTGTGAATGATGTAACGCTTATTCTACTACGTGGAGGTAAATTGTTTTTCGCCGATGACTTGAAGATTTACCTAGTCGTTCGAGGCTATGCTGACTGACAAAAATTTCTGGAAATCTTTAATGATTGGTGTGAACGTAATTTTTTGGTGCTGTGCATCTCAAAGTGCTGCGTGATTAGTTTCCGTCGAACTAGGACTGTCGTTTTGTTTGATTATAACTTAGCTGGGACTGAACTTCAACGTGTCGATCTCGTTAAAGACCTCAGTGTCATGTTGGATGAAAAACTCACGTACACTCGCCACTTCTCAACCACAATCGACAAAGCAAATCGTCAGCTTGGATTCATGTTCAAGATCTCTAAGGAACTCCGTGGTACGCTCACTACTGGAATTCGCGTGTGTTGTCTGGAATGTCTATCATGCAGTATGTAGTGCACGATTCGAAGCTGTTCAACGCAAATTCGTCAGATACGCCCTGCGCTATCTTCCTTGGAGTGACCCGCTGAATTTACCACCGTATGCTGACCGCTGTCCTTTGCTGGGATTGGATACTTTTGCTGAGCGACGGAACGTATTTTTGGTCGCTATTGAAAATTTAGTCGATTGCTAAATTTATGTATGGGCCCAAATTAGGGGCATTAAGGCCGCCTTTACATCCATTTCCCCTATCTGACCTATTTGAGTTAGACTTCAACGCCTCCAGATTTCGTCATCGTTTGCTGTTGGCCAGTTTTTAATTTTTAATGATTTCAAGTCAATTAAATTAACTGCTGGAAAACTGCGGGTACTTTTAAAACGTTCTGAGAAATTCAGGGAAGTCTAGAGATCTTTATTGAACCGTGTAGATCTTTAGGACAGTTCCCTTAAATTCAGGGAAGCACCAAAATCTTAAGAAAAGTCTAGACCTACGAACACTTTTAAAAATCAAGAAGAACTCGCCTTTTTGTTTCGACTGTGCTGATTACAGTTTTATCGTCGTCATAGTTTCGATCCAGGCAATAAGATATTAGATCTTCATCAGGGCTAGTTTTAAATTAAGAACGTAGAACTTTTTGCGTTGAACGAAAGACGGCATAACTTTATATATTCTGAGAATTTAGAATTTGAGTACTTATTAGAGGGATCTACATTTTGTAAATTACCATACTACAATTATGGTCGAACAATGGAGCGTTTTCAATCAGAAATCAATCAATCAGTCCATGCACGTATTTTATCCTTTAAGAAACCTCTAAACATGTTTATACCCAAGCAAGAATACATTTTTGTAATTTAACGAACATCCTTCTAACCAGACCTTCCACGTGACATAACCCGTATTCCGATGTCGGTCTCCTATCTCTGAGAGCAAACAACCCTGCCGCTGAGAAGATGGCATTCACATTCTCTGTGTTGTCCCCGAATGCTACCACAACCTCCCAAAACGTGAGACCTGCCATTCCTCACCATCCTCTTTCGCGACACAGCTTCCGAAAAGCTCCTGCCGAAAGCTTCCCTGCATTTGCATTCATCTCACGTATTCAAGCACCACCACCACCACCACCGGGATGCTGCGAGAAAGCTTCACTGCTTTCAATGTATGCTCGTGTACATGTGAACGAAACGTGCTAGCACAAAACCCCAGGCAGAGCTTGGGCAAGGATCCAACGTGTTTTCCGGAAGGAACGTTCGGAAATCCTTACCACTGCTGGAGAGAAGTACGGACCCCGGATTGCTCTCCGTGAAGTCTTTCTCTCTCTCTCTCTCCCTTTCTCTCTGTTGGCCTTATTGGGTTGGGTTGGGATGCTGCAGCAGCTGGCTGGCTGGCTGGCTCGCTGTCTAACTTGGATGCTGTATAGTGCTGAATCTTGAACCGTGTGCCGTGCTGTGTTGTGCAAGTCCCTGTGTGTGCCTACACTATACTTTGGGAGGCTCATCGCATTCTCCGGGTTGTGGCAAATTTGGAAGCCCAGTTCTTTTCAGTCGGAGCGCTGACGTCACATAGGGTATATCCGCAGTCGGAGTTTTTCCTACGTGGTGTGGTACTGTACTGTGTGTGTCCCTCTGAGGAAGATAGGTGTGTAACAAATTGGTGCTGCTGCTAATAGCCACATTCTGCGGATTCAAGAAAGTCCGCTTCTAGTTGAGGTGTGTGTTTCTTTTTTGTCTGCTAGGCAGAAACCTGCCTGATCCAGGAAGTTCCCGAATATCTCGGAGTGAGGTGATTGGCTTGTGGTGATAGGCACAGGAGCTGCTGGAGGATTTTTCCCGGAGAAAACTCAAGTGTCAAGTGAGTGAATTTGTGGGGAATTTGTTCCGGAAGTGTAAAGTTCTGGTTGCTGACGAGAGGAAGCGAATATTTTAGTGGACAACAGGGTTCCAGTGGAAGGACTGTGTTCAGTGGTTAAATAATCCCCGGAAAGATTGATGATCGAGATTGGAAGTGCAAAACATAAAAAAAAAACCAAGTGACAGAAGCTGAGTTGTGTACATGAAGAAAGAGATGAAAGAAGCTTTCAGATAATGAATAATTCAAGTAATGAAATGAGAGGAAAAACATTGAATCAATAACTCAGCGGTGATTGTTTTGGAGTGCTTTCAGTGATCCCCTGGAATCGACCCGTGAGCCTAGGGCAACCGGAAATCCTCACAGCCATGGGTATAGTTTCAAGATTCTAACTAGCAATCATCAGAGTTGAGCTCGCTGAAGCAGGGGGCCGAGTTTTCATGTTGTTTGTCTTTATGTAGGCCATAACATTACGGGATGTATTTCCATTCCCTCTCTGTCTTTCTTGGTGTGTGCGAATCACGATGGTGCTCTTTTCTTGTGCCCCGTTTCGTTCGCTCCCACCGTGGCCTGGTGGGTGGAAGCTGCTGAGCTACGGAAATCCACACGAGAGCATCCCCACAAATGGGGAAAGAGGGAAAGCTCTGCCCGTGGGGTGGTTGTAACTTCGTGTGGCGTGTTGAAAAATGTAAATTTTCAGCCGTAACGAGCCCTGTCTCCGGCCCTCCTGTCCTGGATAATGCTGAAAAATGTGATAATCGGTGCGAATTTGTTTCGCCCATCTGTACCGTAAAATGGTTCCAAATCATAAGTTTTTACAACGGACGGCGGCACCGGCTGACAATACTTCCCCCTTTTTTCGAGTGGCTTCTGCAGGTGTGGAATAGTGGAGAAAAGCGAAAATCTGGCGCCGGAAAGTTGTGCAGCATGTGATGCATGGTTTTTATCGTCCACTGTGTATGTATATCATATGTACGTGTTCGATTCGTACAGTCGGTTGCTTTTCCGCTCTACATCGTCCGTTTACTATTGTCATTTCTGTTCCGATGACAATGGTTTGACAGGTGTGCGTGTGTGTGTGTCTGTGGGTATAGACGGGGTGGTTGGAAACGATATGAATGCTTGCATGTTTGGCGGAACCGTTGGTCTATCTAACAACTTCCGACGGGATTGAGTTCTGTCCTTGCAATCTAGTGGGTCACAACTGGGCTACCATCACCCCCATGATGGTAGCCATCATGATCTAAGTATTGTTTTTTGACTCTTGGTTCTTCATGTTCCGTGATGGATGGATCAAAATAAGAACTAGAGATTTTTTTCTAATCCAAAGACATATTGGTAAATTTGATCAATTGAAATAATGAGAGGAGTTGATCATAGTGACATTTTCTATAAAGTGAAAATAACAATAAAATCCAAAACGAAAATCGTTTCAATAAATTTAAAGTCAAAGAAGTTGAAGATTGGTTTGATTTTCCATTCCAATGCACACTTCCAGGTAGAGTTAATTCCTAATAGGATGAAATTTATTGATTACGACTTTGGGTGTGGTCAATTAGTATCACGAATTTATATGAAGAGGCTAACACTACTGGTATACAACTTATTGTACACTAAATAAGGATCAAGAAATTGTGTTATAAGAATCCGATTTGGAATTCAAACATTTGGACTAACAATTTCAAAATTTGATTTATTAATCTACAAATGTATTTATCCATTTAGGATCCATAATCTGTAATTTTGCGTCATATTTTTCAAAAATCGTGTGGGAAAAGCAACGAGATTTTTAATCATAATTTCAAACCACACGTCACATAAATTACACGAACATCAGCGTGGATTTTTTACATCTTCAGTATTTATCTTTAAAAAAAAAAGTAATGGCATTTTAAAAATTGACTGTAGCTTACAGCCGAATGTCTCCATAATATATATTTGGTATAAAACGTTGAAGGGATGATTTTCTAGTCTTTGTGCAATTAAAAAAAAAAAAACAGAAATGAGTTACGCTCGAAAATTTACCGAGCATAAACATTATTTTGCAATTCAATTCCTTTTTTTCGAATTTTTCTCTCTAAGCATTTCCTCGTTTTTGAGCTCAATTTCGCGTTTTAAACTTAAGATATTAATCTTCAACTGTGTTTTCTCTCAATACATATTTTTTCGCGTATTGGGGATGTTTTAAAGTTCAATATCTTTAAAAACGTTATACACCTTAAATTAGGATCATTTTGGGTGCAGGGGTAACTAAGGTTTTTTTTTAAAGGTTATGAATGCGTTTTGGAGCTCAATATCTGTAATGACGTGTGTTTCCCTTAGCTCAGTCGGTAAAGGCGTAGCTATAAAGCAAGACCATGTTGAAGGTGGCTGGGTTCGATTTCCGGTCCGGTCTAGGAATTTTTCGGGTTGGAAAATTTCTCGAATTTCCTGGGCATAATAGAGTATGATTGTACGTGCCATACAATTAATTATACAAATGCAAAAATGGTACAGGCTTCGAAAGCCCTCAATTAATAACTGTGGAAGTGCATCTAGAACACTAAGTTGAGAGCACGCAACAAGCTAATATGCGATAAGCAATTTGACTGGGGGTTGACTGGACATTAGCCAAATACGTTAGCCATATGTACGATTGCCATAATAGACATTTTAGAGATTTTAGTCATGATGTTGTTGTGTTGGCAACTAGAAAGTGTAACCCAAGAACCAAAAGTGGTGCGATGCTAGTTTCCATTGCTATGACGACGACTGAATTAAGTGACTTAGAAACAGAGGGGTGAAAGTCAATTATCTTCATCGATTTCCTCTTTTGATGACCATGGTTTCACTAACCTATTTTGCACTATTTGCGCTATGCTCTTCTATCATCCAGAATAACAAGCATATCAATGAATGTGTTTGCCGTCGAGTAATTAACAGAATAGAAAGTCGATGAAGAGAATCGATCAAAATCACTTGCTCACTTGGCTTCCAAGTTTGGTTACAAGATTACAACTCTGGAGAGCATTTTGTGTGGTCGTTGGGGGCGAGTGATTCTGAATATGGCGATGAGTGTGCAAAATGTTACGTAATTGCATCCTCCCCATTCGCACACGCTCGAAGATCGGACACGAATGCCACTTCGACTTTTTTCGTCTACTAAAGACTCTCTGATGACAGTGTTGGGGAAGTAGCAATGCTACATTAACATGTTTCTTCTAGAAACGATTATCTGATGACTGTGTTGGGGAAGCAGAATTTGCATGTACGCAATTGGTGGATTTCTTAATTATTTCGACGCTTTTGGACAATGCTTGACATTTAGCACTTAGTTTTTGTAGAAAATCATCAGATGCGTATACATATTTCTGATCGATTGGTGATAAAATTATTGAAATTGGTCCAAGAGCAGCTGAGTTATTAACGTTCAAAATCTTTCATAATTTTGTTACATGTCCCATTTTCAGTTTTCACAAAATGTACAAATATACGATACACAATTGTTGGATGTCAATCAATAGCTTTTAATCTCTATTTTGCTAGCACAATATTACATCGTAATTAAATAGAATACATTTTCCGAAAACTTGTCCTCCATTAATAGGAACATTATTCCAGTAGTAGTGGTAGTTGCCTTTGGTTCCTATAATAGTGGAACGCATTGCTTTCTTATGGATTCCACTATTATAGGCACACTACCGCAACTATAGGTGCAAAGGAGTCGAAATCTTAAGGAATATTAATTGTTTTCTGTCATTTTTGGGTTAATTTTAAGTTTTAAATATGCAAATCTTCTTTGTTTTAGGAGAGCTACGGATTAAAAATAATCTTATCCGGTTTTCCCTCATTATTCCGGCACAACCCACATACATACCGCAACTATAGGTACACCACTGTTGCTGAAACACCTACTCTATTTTTTTTTATTAAAAAAAATCAATTTTTTTTTCGGGTCAGTAGTTGCTAAGGGCTCAATATCTTTTCCTATAAATAAGGCGTACACAGTTAGAAATTATTACCGACTCGGTAATTTATTTTTTTATTTTTTGCTAAAACTAGGATTCTGATGCATCGGTGGTATTGTTTGATTTTGTATCGAAGGAATCCGGTTTTGACTGACAAAGGGGCGCCCTTTTGGAGGGTGTTCCAACACTCCGAAGAGTATAAAGAGTGGGACCTTACAATTAGAGTCGGGTTTTTGTGATAATGGCAAGAATGACAACTGTATCCAAAACGATTACTTCTTCATTTCCCAATAGTGATGGAGTAATACGATATGCACTAAACTAAGGACACAGAGTATGCTACAATACATCAAATAACTGGTCGCAGTGGATTTATATCCCAAACAGGGGAAACAAATGTTTACCGAACTTTCAACAACTGAACGTTTTAAAATTTGGACTTAATTTTAGTTTCAAAACACTGTCAACCTTATTTAAATGTCCGAGTCTTGCCGTTATGGCGGAATTTTCCTTGTTTTGATGCCTTTAAACTTATTAATTAAAAGTCTGATTTTAATGAAACAGTTCAGCTGTAAAATTACCAAAGTTGGTTATCATTTCAAAATGTGTCTGTCGCGTTTTCGGAAGTGTTTTGGAGTTTCTCCGCATTTATCTTTATTAAAAATAATAATTTTGCGTTTTTAGGAGTGTTTTGGAGTTCAATATCATTAGTCATGTTGTTGTTCCTGATAAAGGATTTCTTGGTGACTGAAGCTGTCTGGATAGGCTGTTCTTTCATGTTATTATAGTTACTTTACACTCGTGGTTCATTTCTGACTTGTATTTTGCCTCTAGCTCCAGATTTGTTAATTTTTGAGAATTTGATGTTATTTCTAAGTCCTTGAACTTTAAAATTCGCCTAAAACCATTATTGTTTTCCTTGATTTGTTTTCCGTACTTAGTACCAATGCTACCAACGCTAGGGAGGCAGCTCCCACACCTGAACCCTACTTATCGACCCATCAACTCATGGACCGGGGACCAACGGCTTTACTTCCCTCTACTCCCACCTGATCA